CACCAGAAGCGTTTCTGTATTTCCTTTTCTGAGACCTAAACAACATAATAATTATATCCCTCTTGCACAGAAACTATCACCCGTCAGGTCAGGAGAGGCGGGCGGTGGGCTGGTTAAACACTGCCATAATTTATGGTATTTGGGAAACAAAGCTTCAAATGTTAAGAGAAAAGAAGAAATTATTATTTTTTTTTTAATTTTTCAATATTCAGTGAGTGTGTGTGTGTGTGTGTGTGTGTGTGTGTGTGTGTGTGTGTGTGTGTGTGTGTGTGTGTGTGTGTGTGTGTGTGTGTGTGTGTGTGTGTGTGTGTGTCAGTGTAAGAATGAGCGAGTGAGTAAATGCGTGAGTGACTGAATGAGTGTGTGAGTGAGTATAAAATTGGGTGAGTGAGTGAATGGATGACAGACAAGTGTAAAATTCTTGCCTCTAAAAATAAAACCAACACGAGTTTTAAAAGGAATTCGAAGATGTCTACAAAATTGGTGTGATTGTTACTGCTTTCTATGAGAGATGGTCACACACACACACAAAGGGAAACTCCATTTGTGTGTGTGTGTGTGTGTGCAGTTTAGGTGACCTTCCTCCCGGCCAGGAAATATTACAATGTCTTCTTCTTCTTCTTCTTCTTCTTCTTCTTCTTCTTCTTCTTCTTCTTCTTCCCTTTCTAACGTTTTATTATTTGCATTTTCGTTTTTATTATTTTTCTATTTCTTCATTTTCTCTACCATCACCTGGTCTGGTGTGGATACACCTGACCAGCACCCCGGTAAATGTCAGGACGACTGAGTAACTCTTCTTGGAAAGGCGTGGAATGGTGGGCAGGGTGTGGTGGTGGTGATGATGACGGTGGTGGTGGTGGTAGGATAGGACGTGTGGTGGTGGTGGTGATGGTGACGTGTGGTGGTGGTGGTGATGGTGACGTGTGGTGGTAGGTGATGGTGACGTGTGGTGGTGGTGGTGACAGGACGTGTGGTGGTGGTGATGGTGATGGTGACGTGTGGTGGTGATGTTGTGGTGTGGTGATGGTGTGGTGTGGTGGTGATGGTGTGGTGATGGTGACGTGTGGTGGTGGTGGTGATGATGGTGACGTGTGGTGGTGGTGATGGTGATGTTGTGGTGTGGTGATGGTGTGGTGTAGTGATGGTGACGTATGGTGGTGGTGATAGTGACGTCTGGTGATGGGTTTAAGCAGGTACGATCAGGTCTGAGGTTAGGTTAGGTTATACTGTTATAACTGGGGGAGACATTAGCGAGTGTCAGGGAAGGGCAATGGCCAATCAGCGAACGACAAACCCGCATAGTACGTGGATTCTGCCTCGCCTTTGCCTGACTCCGCCCATGGGCATGTGACTCCTCCTCCTCCTCTTACTTTCTCCTCCTCTTCTTCCTGCTTTCTTTCTCCTCTTCCTCTTTCTCCTTCATTCCATCTCTCTCTTCTATCGTCTTCTCTTCCTTTATTTTATATCTTACTATTTTTTCTCTACCTTCTCCTACTCCTCCATTCTATATACTCCTCTTTTCTCTCTCCTTCTCCTCCTTCATCCTTTCTCTTTCTCCCCCTCTCTTGTTTATTCTCCTCTATTCTTTCTCCTCTCTCTTCTCTTTCTTTCTTTTTCATCCTTCTCATACTGTCTTCTTTCTCACTCCCTGTCTGTCTGTCTGTCTGTCACCTGTCGGAGGTAGAGGGTGAAGATGGTGATGGTGATGGTGATGGTGAAGGTGATGGTGATGGTGATGATGGTGAAGATGATGATGGTGAAGATGATGATGATGGTGAAGATGATGGTGAAGGTGATGATGGTGAAGGTGATGATGGTGAAGACATTACGGTTACTATTAGACAGATATAAATCCTTTAGTAAGTCTTAATTTATGTGAAAATATTGTATTGAAAGTGTCGTAAGTCGAAGGTATCGTAAGTCTTGAGAATGTGTCGTAAGTCTTTGAAATTTTCAATTCCTTGAGAGTGTCATAAGTCCTGAAAGAAATGATGGTGATATTATATAATTTTGGTGATAGTGAAGATAATGAATGTGTAAGTCTTGGTAACAGAACATCAAGCTGAGGATGGCGACTGTGTTGACATCTGGGTCAATCATCTCTTGGCATGGTGTTGTGTATGTATGTATGTATGTATGAGCCACGACCACCTGTGTGTGCATGTGTGTATGGAGGGGGGTGGGGGGGTTCCTTGTCTGTCTGTCTATCTTATTTGTCTATCTTTCGCTTTCTTTTTTAGACTATCTGGGAGCATAAATACTCTATCTATCTATCTATCTATCTATCTATCTGGATTGTCTTTCTGTTCGACTGTCTCTCTTTCTATCACAGACCATCTGGGTGTACCAAGACCACCTCTAATCTCTCTCTCTCACTCTCTCTCTTTCTTTCTCAGACCACCTGATGGGTATACCTGAGGCTCACCTGTCTGTTTACCTGTCTGTGTGTGTGTGTCTCTCTCAAGACACGTGATAGACAGACGACGACCATCACCACTTAGCTGTCCTAGGATCACCAGCTGGTCACATGTACACCGCGTCACCAGGTGTGTTGGGGAGGGAAGGAGGACCAGCTGAGGCATACCTGGGCGGGCGGGAGGGTAAGGGGGGGAGGGGGAGCCCATCTAGGTCACACCAGGTTACTCAAGTTAGACCTTTCTCTATGTCAAAATACTTTCCTCTAGTTGTAAATCTAATGAGACCATGTGGATTACTGGCTGCTGACGGAGGGGGAGAGAAGAGACTGAAGGAGGCATGAGGTGGAACACGAAGGTAGGTGCTTTAGGTGATGATGATGAAGGAGAGGTCATGGCACCATCTCTTGAGGATAGGTGTTGAGTCAGTCTCTCTCTCTCTCTGTTGAACGCATGACTTTCAATTGGTTTTTATCTTTATATCAATAACAAGATGTCTTATCGGTCCCTCGTGACTCTCTCTCTACTCCTGGTCGACCGATCATTGTTTCAGTCTGTGTGTGTGTGTTCCTACGGCCACATTCAGTCCTACACTCACTCACACACTCGCTTTCACACATTCACTCGCACAGATACTCACTCACTCACTCACCCACACACATCCACACACTCACACCACACACTTACTTACCCACACACTCACTCACCCACACACCCACACACCCACACACTCACACACCCACACACTCACTCACCCACACCCACACACCCACACACCACCACCCACACCACTCACTCACCCACACATCCACACACCTGCCACCACACCCACGCCCCACACACACACTCACACCCACACACCCACACACTCACTCACCCACACACTCACTCACCCACACACTCACTTACCCACACACTCACTCACCCACACACACCTACACACTCACTTACTCTTTTGTCACCAGCGGTAAGGTCAAACAAGGGTAATTAGGATTTGATATCAGACTTGACCTATGACTCGAGTGGGTCATAGCCGGTATTGGATTAATATCTCTCCCTGTTGTGTAATAAACAAGGTGAGGAAATTGTGTTGCTAGTTGACAGTTTTAGCTTATGGTAATATTGTTAACATGTAAGACAATCAGAACTTTATACGGGGATAATAATTTTGATCAATAGTTATTGATCAATAGCTGTCAGTTTTTTTAATATTATCTGTAATTTCAGACGTCATAAATTTTTTAACAAGATTAATTAATTTTCATATTTTCAGTGAATTTTTATTACTATAATAGTCACCTAACCTAACCTAACCTAGCCTAGCCTAGCCTAACCTAACCTAACCTAACCTCCACCTCCCACTAACTTGGCTCCTCATTACTGGTCCATAACACTGCTACAAGTTTTGCTTTTGCCGTCACTACCAGGTTTTTATCTTCTATGGACGTTCTTACTCGGTTAAACATATGACAGACAACCCAGGGATTAAGGAGACAATTGGTCCCTCAGTCCAGGAACTCTGAAGATCGTAACAGTGAGGCATAATAGAATATACTGGACAATTAATATCACCTCACCTAGATATTTTACTTGGACTATTATGACGCTTTTAGGTATATTATTTATTTGACTATACAAGACTCGTGTTGTCTCTTACTGAAGTCTGGTCGATGATAAACAGTTAGATTTGAATGACAACCTGAACTATTGGTCAAGTTATCCATTATTGGAGCGTCAAGGACCACCTATGATGACCTTCAAACTACATGGTACCAATATCCTTTATCATTGTGGGCAATGGGGGGGGGGTCATGACCTTCAGGGCTAACGAGGTCACAGGGATACACAAGGAAAGACAGTGGTCAGTGTGAGTCTGGAGGCATGATGGCAGTATAGTCACCAGCCTACGGACTGTTCCTTTATAAGTGGTTTTCTGAACAACAGTGCCAGTCACCAAGACAGTGCCAGAGGTAACTAGTACACAGTCACTCAGATACGGACAGTCACTTAATACCAGAGCTAAAAAGACACAGTTCCGTGATGGAGGGAAGTATTGTGGTGAGTGCCCGAAGGCAGGTGTGGCCGCATGCGGGATGGTGTGAGGCGTGTGGGCTCGTACACGTGCAGCAGCAGTACCGCAGGTGGGCAGCAGGTGCGGTGACAGGTGATCCAGGCGAGGAGGTGCGAGGAGGGGGTAGAAGACCCCCGAGTGCGGCCAGATCTGTGGCAGGGCAATAATTACCCCTGGATTATCATAGTGGCCACAAAAACTAGGCCCAGCGAGCCAGCCGACCCCCGAGAACGCTGCCACAGCTAGGAAGTCCTCCACCGGACTCTCTCACACACGCACAGGAATTCTGGACGTCGGGGAAGTGGGCGGAGCTTCCTATAGCAGCAGGCGGCGCCAAAATGTATGGACGAGATGGGAATGTAGGTGAAGGGGCGGGGGCTAAAAGTGACGTCACGCGACCGAGTGCCGCTGAGCTCGCCTCAGCCAATCGTGGCGCTGAAAGTTGATGACGTCGGCGCGTGTCGGAGGCGGTGCCAGCTCTACGTCACACAAGAGGTTGGTTGCTTGCGGGCCTGGAATGTGGGGTAACGTATAATGTAGGTCTCGTGGAGCCAGCAGCGGATTATTAAGTATTGAACAGCAGTGCCGTGTGGACGTACAGTAGCCCGTCTCTGGAACACTGGTAGGTAGCTGGTGTGTGTGAGGACTGAGTGTTCCTCCATACTCAACGACCATCTTCCTCAACGCCTCGAGCTCATCCCCAAAAAAGAGGATTAATTCTATATTAACAGATCGATATGTTTACCTTTTTCTACAAACAGTGAACAGAAAAAAAAGAAAGAGAAAAATTAGCCCCCCTAAAATAACATCAACATGCTAAGGGAAAAGAAACAGTATCATGCGGCAGTGATTTCAACGGCCGGGGAAGGAGGAAGCCACGCTGTGTTGTGTTGTGTTGTGGTGATGTGGTGGTGGTGGTGGTTGTCACGCTTCCGGGGGCAAGGAGTCTGGGACACCCTCACCTATCAGTCGGGCATGGAAGGAAGGACTATCCGAGAGGAGGAATAGTCTATCTCCCAGAGGATAGTCTCAATAAGAGGGTGGAGTAGGAAGGAATAGTCACCGCTAGGATAATAGTCTGGCGGAAATATTAACCAAGACGTAACCTGGGAGAGAATATTGGAGTCATATAGGCATTACTCCTTCAGGGGAATAGCTCCTTCGTCGGGTGGGTAATCGCTTGAGAATATTTACAAGGAAGAATCACAACCCCCCATAAATATCCTCCGGTTAAATGCTCGTCAGGATAATATTCTCAAGAATAGTCACACGGGGATAGATAGGATTACAAAACAAGTGGATAGTCTTCAGGAGAATGGATAGTCGTCAGTTATGTAAGGATATTCAATGATAAGAATTAACCTAAAATGTTCTGGATAGTCAAGAATAGTCAACAAAGTTAAGAATAGTCAAGAGATAGTTACCCAGATAGTTAATTGAGGATAGTGACTAGTTGAGGAGAAGTGAGGATAGTGACCTCTGATGTGAGGATAGTGACCAGAGGAGAGGAGAGGTGAGGATAGTGACAAGTGAAGGGAAGGTGAGGATAGTGACAAGTGAAGTGAATGTGAGGATAGTGACCAGAGGAGAAGTGAAGATGGTGACTAGTGGGCAGGTTGGCTGGACAGGTGGGCAGGTGGGCTGGATGAGTGGTGAGGCGTGGGGAGGAGGAGGGGAGTGGTGAGTACTAGGTCAGTAGGTAAGCTGAGTGTACTATTTCCTGCACACTCACAAGTCAATTCACACACACTCACAGACCAACTCACACACTCACAAAACACCTCTGAAATACACTTGTACTGAGTGTATACCGAACAGAACACAGACCATGGTAGTATATGTGTATTTATCATATAATATAATGGTTGAGGTAATACACTGTCTCTGTATACTTGTGGTCTCACCTAACCTAACCTAACCTAACCTAACCTAACCTAACCTAACCTAACCTAACCTAACCTAACCTAACCCAACCTTACCATTAACAGACATACATTGACACTGAAAGTTTATTTACCTGAAAAATATAGGCAAAGTGAACAACAATAACAACAACAACACTATCGACATCTCAGCATAGCCCCACAAGTCGACACAGTTACGGTGAGTGTGTAGATCGACACGTGCAACAGTCGAGGTCAAAGGTCGAGTGAATCATGTCTCAAGTGTACAACGTGATCGTGAGTAAGAGACACATTTAAGAGTGACTTTGGTGATGTCTTCTCATTAAGGTTCTTCATTATTTCTCATACTTGGGGTCAGTATTTCTCATACAAGATCTATAGTGAATGTTCCTCATATTTAGCCTGTTATAGTTACCCCTTATGTCATAACTAAGAGTTCAGCGCCCCTCGTAACTAAGAGTTCAGCGCCCCTCATAACTAAGAGTTCAGCGCCCCTCGTAACTAAGAGTTCAGCGCCCCTCATAACTAAGAGTTCAGCGTCCCTCATAACTAAGAGTTCAGCGCCCCTCGTAACTAAGAGTTCAGCGCCCCTCGTAACTAAGAGTTCAGCGCCCCTCATAACTAAGAGTTCAGCGTCCCTCATAACTAAGAGTTCAGCGTCCCTCATAACTAAGAGTTCAGCGCCCCTCATAACTAAGACTTCAGAGCCCCTCATGACCAAGAGTTCAGCGCCCCTCATAACTACCGCCAAGAGGAGTTAACCATCTCACTAACACGAGTTCCTCCTCATAAGCAATTGTCGGCGTCTTCCTCATCAAAGCTTTTCACCAAGTATTTTCACTCACACTTCCTGTTCCTCACCTCAGCTGCTCCCCGGCCGGTGTCTGAGCATGGAGGGAGGGAGGGAGGTAGTCGGCCCCCACCACACGCCGCCGTGACCTCACTCCTGCTCGTCCTCACTAAACATCAACAACAAAATGATGACACCTCACATGTCCTCTTTCTCATTCCTCCTTCTCCCCCTCCTTCACGACTTTATTCTTTTTCATAGCCTTTCTCTCTCCCTTTCCTTCTTATTCTCGCCACTTCTTCCTTCTCCTCTACCTCCTCTTCTTCTGCTACCCTCATGACGTTATCCTTCCTCATATCTCCTCTCTGATGCCTCTAATATTTCCACCTCCTCCTCCTTCTTCTTCCTCCGTACAGGCACTTCCTTCCCTCCTTCTCCTCTATCATCACAACGCCTCTCCCTCCTCCCCTCCCCCGCCGCCTCATCTCCCCACCACGGCCCGCTCCCGTCATAAAAAGAGAAAGATGGTGCAGAGAGCTGGAGGAAGTGTGTAGCCTAAATTCAGTGAAGGTCCCGCCATGACCCTGCACCAACCTGGCGGTGAGATCGCGCTAACCCGGCACCGCTCACCCCCGTCCTCTGGCCTCCTGTTAGTCCCTCTCCTGTCTCTCCCGGGGATATTTAGACGGGAAATAACCTCTAGATGGATGTACACGAAGGAGGAGGAGGTAGTAGAGGCCAGTAAGTCTCCAGGTGTTGATCACTGGCGGTAGCTTAAACACGCCAGGTAAAAATCGCTCGTCGACACCTCGGTGACCCAGCCAGCGGCAGCCCGGCTTAGCAAGTGAATGTTGGTCCCCCACAGCCATTACGTTCCGCTACTAAAATTATGACGGGAATGGTTAAAAGTTTCTTGTGTGGTGCCAGGGTCACTAGGGCTCCCCCACGTTCACCAGCCGTTCATATAAGATCATCACCACCTGGCCGTGTCACCAACCTACACGATAGAGTGATGGAAGTCGTCAACCAGATCTTCCTCAATTGTCAGTACATATCGAAAATTAGCAGCAAGACTATTTCATCTACGACTGGTCAAAACAATCCGCGTACACTCCAGTTCTAGCACCAGTGAACGTCTCAACACCACGATGACCACAAAAATGATTCACGACACCAAGAATTATTGCATTCAATACCTATTACATATCTCCTATTATAACTGTCTTAAAATAAACAATATTTACGATAGTTCTCAGCTCCAGTGAACGCCAGGATAACAAGACAGTTAACATGTCCTTGATCCATGGCTGCACCAACAGTCGCATTCATAAACTAAAATTTTTTTTTTTTAATATGCATCACAAAACAACAAAACATAATTAAATTCAATAATAATAATAATAATAATAATAATAATAATAATAATAATAATAAACATTCACAAATTTGTATCCGCCTCAAAAAAAAAAAAAAATCAAACTTTACTACGGCTTTCATCATCAGTGAACGCCAGCACATCAAAACAATAACATTGCTCTGACAGATGGAAAGTGACGGACAGCTTGAGTTATCCTATCCACAACACCTCTCTCTGCCCTCTACCAGTTGGATATCCTTCTCTGTACAACGATAACATACCAGTTGGATATCCTTCTCTGTACAACGATAACATATTTTTTGCGTTTGAAAATAAGGATATCTTGTTAATTTGATATTATTTGTTTGTTTAGTGAATATAAATGAAATAAAAATAATTGGCTGAAGGAAATTATATAAATATGGACACAGTGATAAGTTGTGAAAGTGATAAGTGTAAATTTAAGTGAACTTGGTGTGTAGTGATGGTGATAAAGTGCGTAATATGTGGTGGTGATGATGATAAGTGTACAATGTATGGTGGTGATGTAGTGTAGTAATGGTGAAAGGTGTATATCCTGTTGTGTGGGGTGAAGGTGACAAGTGTAGTTACGTTACATGTTGATGGTGACGATGTGTGGTGATGATGACAAACGTATAGTGTCTATGTGGTGTGGGGTAGTGATGATGTGTGATGATGATTATGATATGTAGCAGTGATGGTGATGAGTGTGTAATATATGGTGATGCTGATGGTGATGAATGTGCAATACGTGGTGATAATGGTGATAAGTGTATACTGTGTGATGGTGCGTGGTGATGATGATGATGATGATGATGATGATGATGATGTCTACAAATAGTGTTTATGATTAATAATGGTGATGCTAGTGACACTGACGACACTGATGGTGACAAAGCATAGTGATAGTGAGTGGAGATTGGTGATATATTATGGTGATGGAGATGGTGATGGTGACGTACAGTGTTGGAGATGTCGACGTGTAGTGGTGGTGATGGTGACGTATAGTGATGATAGTGAAGTTAATGGTGATGATAATGAAGTGTAGTGATGGTGATGATAGTGGTGGTAATGGTATTCAACAGTGCTGCCAGATAATGATGGTACCAACACACAGCACTGGTGGCAGATAGTGGTGGCAAATAGTGGTGGTAGTGGTGGTAGGGATGGTGGTTGTGGCATGTAGGGGTATGTGGTATGTTCTCGTGATGGGAATGGTAGTAGTAGTGGCGTATGGTAGTGGTATGAATGGTATAAGAGATGGGAATGGTGTCAGGGTAGTGGTAGTGGTGGAAATGGTGTCAGGGTAGTGGTAGTGATGGGAATGTTGTCAGGGTAGTGGTAGTGATGGGAATGTTGTCAGGGTAGTGGTAGTGATAGGGAATGGTGTCAGAGTAGTGGTAGTGATGGGAATGGTGTCAGAGTAGTGGTAGTGATGGGAATGGTGTCAGAATAGTGGTTAGTAAGCAGCATTAACAAGGCGAGGAGCTGCTGTTATTACGTGCATTAGTGACGATAAAAAGTTGAATGAGGATAACAGTGTGAAGTAATAGTGAACCTACCTAACCCACCTAGCCCACCCCTTTACCCATCTAGCCCACCCCCGTTTACCCATCCTCTGACCCACTTACCCACCCCTACCCATTCTCTACCTAACCCACCTAGCCCACCCCTTTACCCATCTAGCCCACCCCCGTTTACCCATCCTCTGACCCACTTATCCCCACCTCTTACCCATTCTCTGACCCACCTAACCCACCTAGCCCACCCCTTTACCCATCTAGCCCACCCCCGTTTACCCATCCTCTGACCCACTTATCCCCACCCCTTACCCATTCTCTGACCCACCTACCAATCCATTCCTAACCTATTACCTATTCCACTCACCTACTTACCTAAGCTTCTATCTACACCTCTTCCCTATCCTTGTACCCACTTACCCACCTACCAACCCATTTACCCACCCATCTACCCACCTAGCTACCTACCCAGCTCATAAGTGGGTCAGCCAGGCAGGATCCGGGGAGTCAGTCCAGTCTTGTGAGAACCTGATAGTGGTCAGCTGGTACTGTGGGGGGAGGTGGAGGTGGGGGGAGGTGGAGGAGGTGGTGGGGAGGAGGAGGTAGGAAGGAGGAGGAGGAGGGGGAACAGGAAGAGGGAGACAGAAAAATTGGAGGAAGAAGACGGAAGAGTTGGAAGAAGAAGAGGAGGAAGAAGAGGAGGAGGAGGAGGAGTAAGGGAAAGACGAAAGAGTTGGAGGAGATAAAAAAAAGGGGGAGGTGGAAGAAGATAGAAAAAGAGAGAAAGGCAATAAAGGTGGGAAAAGAGAAGACAGGAAGGGCTCCAGGAAGAAGAGGAGGAAGGGGAAAAAGCGTGATAGTGTGTAGGTCAGTGAAACACAATATAAAAACAGGCATTTAGGCTATAAGGTCAAAATTTCCTTCTTTAAATTAAACCTCAAAACATTTCGAGTTATTTTATTTATCTTTATTCCATCTTCCTTTATCCTATTTCTCAATTATTGTTTGTTTATTATTGGTAGTGCAGTGTTACGTAAAGCTGGCCAATAAGGACATAGTTTTTTGAATACCGAGTAGATTATTATTATTGTTATTATTATTATTATTATTATTATTATTATTATTATCATTATTATTATTATTATTCCTCTTTTTCGTCTACATCACTAGTATTTTTATCATTATTGGTGTTATTATCGTCATTATTACAACTGTTATTACTATTATCATTATTATTATCATTACTATTATCATTGTCATTATTGTTATTACTCGTATCACTGCTGTTATTATCGTCATTTAGGTCAGTACACACACAACATGTACACAGTGTGGAGGTACGTACACAGAGGCGCTACAGGCAGTGAGTTGTCTTGACACTGGTGACTGGATTCTCTCACGCACACACACACACACACACACACGAGCGCACCTACAAGCGGATATACGCTCACTCACACACAAATACACACATACGCACACAAACGCTCACACACACACATATACAAACACACGCACTCATACATACTTATACACACACTTGAACACACACGCAATCATATACACACAGACGCATACATATCCCTTAATAAAGTGGACAGCGCGGTGGAGGAGGGAGGGAGGGAGGTGTCCGTGGCATTGACCGAGAGAGGGAGACTGAGCCAGGTGGTGGTGCTGGGAGGGGCGGCCAAGTTCAAGGTCTGTCTCCTGTTTCTTGTTCCGTTGTCGACAGGCGCCGGGATTTCTTGTTTCTGTGTGTGTGTGTGTGTGTGTGTGTGTGTGTGTGTGTGTGGTTGTGTGTGTGTGTGTGTGTGTGTGTGTGTGTGTGTGTGTGTGTGTGTGTGTGTGTGTGTGTGTGTGTGTGTGTGTGTGTGTGTGTAGTGGGGTTGGCGTGTGTGTGTGTGTGTGTGTGTGTGTGTGTGGTTGGCGTGTGTGTGGTGAAGACTCAGGACCTACCGTTAGTAGGCCACATCTCTCTTTCATAAACATTAGTCTTGTTTATTTCTCATAGTAATGTGTTACCTTAGGTCAGGTACTGATGAAAAAACACAAATATGCTCTATAATACATGAAAATACAGCAATTACAGGTAGATTACAGTACATTTACCTGCACACCTGCAATATGTGTATATGTGACATTTAACATGGGAACGAGTTAGGTTAGGTTAGGTTAGGGTCAGAGCTCAAAGGGACCATGATATAGGGTTTCTGGACACACACACACACACACACACACACACACACACACACACACTACAGGAGTCGAATAACAAAGAAAACAGCAAAACGGTAAAACAGAGAGTAACAGTGAAAAGGGATTATAAACTTACAAACAGATGATAATAAACAGTAGTAGTGGACGATGCGAGGAACAACAACAACAGAAAAAACGGTAATATAAAGAACAACAGATTGACAACAACAGACAGTACTATAAAACACGGGAGAAAAACAATATTGTAAACATAAACGGAAATGTCAACAAACGGTAAAAGGTTATAAGTTGGCAAAACGGTAAAGTGAGACGACACAGTAAGCCCAAACAGAAGGTAACAACGGTATTCATAACCACTGTTGAGGCTTGTGGTTACCCGCCTTTCTGCATATACCACACACACACACACACACACACACACACACACACACTTACATATATTAACCCCATCTTCCTATTATCCATGTATCCTCCTTTATCATCCATGCATCTTATCCACGTTATCAATATTATCTGTGTACTCATATTATTTCTTTCCTTACACCCAACAGATCGAGGCAGGGAGGACGCCCCCCAAAGGACCATGTTATTGATAAGAGTGTGTTGGCTCTCCCTACTGCTCGCCCTGGTCAGTACACCAATATATTTTCATCATAGTTCATTATCTATTCTCATTCACAAGTTTAATAGTGGCGACTTTAGTACCAGTGAGAGGACTATACTTGGGGCTATTTTGATCTATGATAATTAATACTGTGGTTTATTTATTTTTTATTTGATTATTTAGTTTACATTGTGATGGCAAATCCTGATGTTCGTCTCCTATTATAAATGATTTTAATACCAATACCGATATAATATAATTCATCTTTTACGTTCCTGATCAGTGAGTTAGTTCCTTAGGTCAACCAATGCTGTGTCGAGTATTTCTTATTTTTGTTTTTAATGTGGGTTAGACAGGTATAACCCACAGGTAGGTGAGGTCAGGTATTGTCAGGTGTTGGGGGGGGGGGAATATTTGGTTATAATTTATAATATACTTTTGAGAAATACTTTTGGTTGGTTCTATAAAATTCCTCAAGGTTAGGAATATCAGGCTATGAACCCTCGTGTGGTGTGTGTACCGACCAAACAACTTCTCTTCCTTCTTCTGGTTAAAGTACTATCACAAGTAATATGTATTAATATACTTTTCTTGCTATCATCATTACTAGTATTATATCTAAATACAGCTATTTATGATTTACATGATTACTATTATTGTTTTCAAGTACAGCTATTGACGATTTAATATTTTTTCCCCTGCCAATAATCGTCAGGTTTTTTTAACACTGAATATCTTCACACTGTATTAACGTTTATCATTATCCTTTGCTCGTAATTGAAGGTCATTATTACTAATCCAATTACGTAGACAAGTCGGTACATTAAACTCGTAACTAGGTCATTACCAAGCAAACAACTCGTCAATGACTGTGCAGTAAATGGCGTTTTGTGGATCTAACCTACTGTGACGTCAGATGTAAACAAACTTTCCCGCGCTGTGGGTCCTCCGTGCCGATGACGGGTTCCCTCCCCTCCATTCACTCCCGTAGACTAACACACACACACACACACCTGGTCTATGGCGCGTGTTTATCAATACGTCTGTCGATTGTAACTGAAGGGACACGAAAAGTAGTTTAAAGAGTATATGTGTATGAGTAAAGAAGGTGGTGATAATGTGAATAAGAGATGCAAATACGGTCAAATTAATGAACATATGAATAAACTTTGCAGGCAGAGAAAGCATAATTATTATACAAAACACATTAATTAGATTTTCAGACACCAATTTAACGATACTGTAATATCATGGGAATTACGGTCTGTTTAATAGATGCGTTTAGGGACAGTTCTTAACATATTCAATTAAGAGCATCACCTGTACAATACTGTCACCCCTGGATAATTATCACACCTGTACTACACACCTGTATACCTAAACCCACACATGTAATACTTAAACAAACTCACAAAACTTGAAACCAAACGCCACGAGAGACACGCTGGGGAAAGGCTGTGGAAAAACTAATGACAACAAAACCAGAGTAGGAATGATTGAGAAGGCCAAAACACAACACACAGGGAGATGACACTAACTCGTGGTGTGAGAACTCTTGAGAGAATAGGGTCAGTCGAGTGTGAGATGAGAGTGTTTGCTGAGAGAAAGCTGTGAGAAGGTCCCTGGGCGTGAGAACTACAGCTAACAGTGTGGTGTGATGTGATGTAAGGAGAAGCAGTAAGAGTTATTTGTCTAAGGAGGAGGAAGTAGAGTGTAGAGGAAGGGTGTGTCGCCAGACTGAACAGGGTACAAGAGGGAAGGATGTGAGGGGTGGGAGACCAGCTATTGATCTGTCTAGCTTTCACAAGAGAGAGTAACTTAGCTTTGGATTCTACAGTTATCAGTTTAGAACCAAAAATTATCAGTTACCAATCAGTGTTATTAATCTAGGATCAGAATAATACAATCTTTAGAGCACCAATTGTATTTTTTTTGAGTTAGAATTATTGATCTAAAGTGATAACAAATGAAGAGCTGTGGTTATGAAGTTATTACCACCCACACACCTCGTTGTAAGTCTTATGTTGCGTGTGCGGTTGTTAGTGCGGTGGTCTGTAAAGCGTCATTTAGTGCGTCGTTTAAGATAATTAGGAATAAATGAGATAATAATCGGATAATAGGATGATTCAAGATAATAAGCAAGAAAATGGTGAAACGCCTTGTGGGGGTAAGTACAGTAGGTGAGGAGTGTAGGGTGAAGGGGTGGGTGAAGGGGTGGGTGATGGGTAGAGGGGTGGGTGATGGGTAGAGGGGTGGATGATGGGTTGACACAATGGGTGGAGGCTGGTGGGTGTCTTAATATGGGGGGGAGACAACAGACGACAGACTCTGGTAATAGTGGGTGGAGAGAGAGAGAGTAGGTCTTGATGGTGGGTGTTGAGGCAGAGACTATAAATATTCCGCCCACACACACACACACACACATGTACTCTGCCCCCCCCACTCACGCACACACACAACCTGCACGCATACACCCACACACCCCCAAATGAGGAAGACAGACTCGCCACACCTGGTCTCGACTCCACTAACAAGTAGTGAAGACGCCTCAGCTGTCCTCCCCAGGTGTGAGAATAACCTTAAAGGCAACACGACAAACCACTTAAGATGTCTTCAATACGATGATTATATTCAAGTGTTATGATGAGCCATTTCTGGTACATGTAAGAATACAGGTGAACTTACAGGTAGAAATACAGGTATGTGGGTCTATTAATTCCGAAACAGTAGTGATGGTACAGACGAAGACTTAGGTACAGAGATTCAATGATTCTGAAACTATGGTAGAGGTACACACACACACACACACACGCGCGCGCGCACACACACACACACAGCTCCCCGCCCTTGACACCCTAACTCCAGCAGCATCATTAAATGAACGTGAGCCATGGGAGGTGCTGATAGTAGGACTGCACCTGGATACCTCCGCCCGCCCGCCCGCATATGTGGGTTACTGTGTTGTGTCGTGAGTGAGTGAGTGAGTGGGTGGGTGGGTGGGTGGCGTGGGAAGGTGGGGGAGGGGGGGGTGGGTGTGGATGCTGCAAGTCACGGTTGGAATTCTCGCGACAAGTCATCTCGTAACCAGACGGAAACGATCCCCGGGGATGAATGTATGTACACCTGAGCGAGAGGAATGTGTCTAAACCCTGGCAGATAAAACACTTAAAACTAAAAACCAATTAAACGATGCTTAATAACCTTAGCAGATGAAACATAAGACAAAAAAAAAACAATAAAAAAAACGACTCCGTAAATGGCACAGGTAAACAATTTCACCCTTCACTCACTGTACTGTACATGAGCTGAGGTGACAAGTACAGGGAGGGTATCAACAGCCAGTGAGCGCCAGACTGTACAAGGCTGCACATGTGAGAGATCAATCACGTCACTGTATAGAACCCACGACGTGATTTTGTTTCCTTCAGTGATAAAAAAAAACGTAAATAAAGTCAATAGGTAACAGAACATCTCGTTTGGTAAGAGAACGTGTTTGTATTTCATCATCATTACGAGATTTCTGCCTTCCTGTACCTGTCTGTATTTACGTCTGTACCTGTAAATGAACTCGTATTTAAATCGTGACTTCCTATAATGTTAAGGTCATTTAGAAGCTACTGGACCACCACCCACCTCACACCTCCCACTCACCTTACCACATCCCCCACAGCACAACACCCCCACCAATTACACCTCCCATCACCACACACACACCACCCCCACCTCCTCCCCCATCTACTAATAGCCCTTTACCTTATATAGATGCTAAATTAGGCCTACACAACCCTTACCCACCTAGGCCTACATAGCCCTCCCTCCCCCCACCTTGCTCCCAGCCCTACTCCCCTTCTTTCACCTCCTATGTTTACTCTCCCTTACCTACCTACTCCCTCCTCCTTTACTCTTCTTCTTCCTCAACCTACCAGGACTTACTTATTCATAACCCCATCCCAACCCCCAACCTCTCCTCCCTCCCTCACCTATCATCACCCAACCGTCGTACCAGTCAACCATTAAGTGTACTCGACCATTGTCATTAGATATAACTGCCCATTAGACATCATAATTACCCATCATAACAACTATACTCACAGCCCACCCTCGATCGACCGGAAACTCCCAAGAGGCGGCGCTGCGGTCGAGGGGTTTTCTCTTCCCCTGCGGTCGACCAGTGAAGTATTTTGCGGTTTATTGCAATGGCTCGTCATCCTCTGCTGTACACACATCACGGAGAGTTAACAGCTTAGGTCTATGTTTACTTAACTACGATAATTATTTTTTTATACTTGTATATTTTTTTTCTTTTCTTTTAGTCGATCTGTTAATTTAATGTAATGATTTTTATAGTTTAATTTATTATAGTTTATTTCCGGGTACCATAGTTTATTTCCGGGCACCGTAGCTTATTTCCGGGTACCATAGTTTATTTCCGGGTATCATAGTTTATTTCCGGGTATCATAGTTTGTTTCGGGGTAGGCCAAAGTGTGTGTGTGTGTGTGTGTGTGTGTGTGTGTGTGTGTGTGTGTGTGTGTGTGTGTGTGTGTGTGTGTGTAAAATAATAATAATAATAATAATAATAATAAACGGTTTATTAATAGAGTTCAATACATTTACAGGACTATACAGTACAGTACAAATGAAGAAAAAATAACATTAAACATTTACAAATTTTAAATCGTGTAAATAAAATGAAACTAAAATTCTCACGGTAAAATAGATCGCATTTGACGTCATAAATTTACAAGGAGGATGAGACCGGTGTAAACATGACGTAAAAAAGTCTTTATTTTGTGTGAAAGTTTAGTAAATAATTCACAACGGAAGAACGTGCGTATTGTGTCGAGTCATGGAGTGGGGTGTGGCTGACTGGTTGGCTGGCTGGGTTATGTAGGTGTGGTGGTAGTAGTGGTAGTGGTAGAGGGTGATAGTGGTAGAGGGTGATGGTGGTAGTGGCAGAGGGTAATGGTGGTAGTGGCAGTGAGTAATGGTGGTAGAGGCAGTGGGTAATAGTAGTAATGGTGGT